GGGCGGTTCCGGGGCGGTTCCAGGGCCGGTGCCGGTGCTGCCATGGCCGCGGTGCCGCTGCGGGGCCGGCGCGGGGCGCTCGGGCCGGGGGGAACCGGGGAGCCGGAATGTGTGAGTCGGGACCGGGAATGGGACCGGGAATGGGACCGGGAATCGGGAATGGGACCGGGAATGGGACCGGGACCGGGAATGGGACCGGGAATGGGACCGGGAATGGGACCAGGACCGGGAATGGGACCGGGACCCGGCTCCCCTCGCCGCCCGGGCCGTGTCGTGGCTGGTGCCGGTTCGGGGATGGAGCTCAAGAGGCTTTGGGGGTTTTTCTCTTTTTTTCTGTTTTCCATCTTTTCTTTTTCCATGTGTTCTCATCCCCGTTTTCTTTTCCTCTTTTTCGTTTTATTTTCTTTTTTTTTTTTAATGTCTAAATTCCTTTTTTCCTTTTGAATTTTTTTGTTTTTCCCTTTTTTTCTTTCTTCCTTTTCCTTTATTCCTTTTTAATTACTCTTTCCCTTTTTTCTTTCCCTTTTTTTCTTTCCCTTTTTTTCTTTTCACCTGTTTTCCCCTTCTTTCCTTTCCCATTTTTCTTTTTCCTTTTCCTCCCTTTGTTTTTCTTTTCCCTTTTTTCTTCCCCCCCTTTTTTTTTTCTTTTCATTTTTTGTTCCTTTTTTTCTTTTTCCTTTTTTAATTTTTCTTTCTTTCTGGCTGAAACCCTCTTTACCAGGCAGCCTCACTAATTCCATCTATATCTGCTCTTCTGGCTCCAAGATGACAGAGAGGAATCAGAATCCCAGCCTGGTTTGGGTTGGAAAGTTGGATTTTAAGGCTTTTGGACTTAGAGCAGTATCAGATTTTCAAGGCCAGAGCTCCCAGTGTGGTTTGGACTGATCTTCAGGTAGAGTTTCCCAGGTGGATCTGCATGGATCTCACATTCCCTCTGCTTTCCCAAACAGAGCCATCTTTCCACAGGGAGAAAAGCAAGGAGCATCTCCACAGGGCCATCATTCCACAGGGAATCCAGTGGGGCTGCTCCAAGGAGAGCTGGGCTCTGTGGGGCAGCCTGGCTTTAAAAACGGGCTCAAAAAGCAGAAAATGCATGACAAGAACATTTAAACCTCAGAGAAAATCTTTAAAATTGTACCCAAAACAGCCCAACAAACGAGCAGAACTTTTCCCACAGCTCCTTCAGGTTGGGTGCCCAGTGGAGCTGGGTTTGGCACCAGCTTGGTGTCATCCCTGAGCTCTTTATTCCCCAGCTGGACAGGAAAGTGAGAGGCTTCCCTGCAGAGAGATCTGCTCCCTGCCTGCTGCTTGTCCCCTGCTCATCCCCCTGAGCTGCTGGATCATTCCCTAAGAGGAGCAGAGCCTTGGATGCAATCCCTGCCTGCCTTTGGAACAGGGAGCTCGCTGATCCCTGTCCATCACAGGCTCCCTGGGTCCTGCACAGGCAGCATGGATGCAGACATTCCTTCTTCCCTGCGAGAGGATTCCAGAGCCTGGGGTTTTCCCTGGAGCAGGAAGCTCCCCCAGGGTGGCATTGGTGTGATGAGTTTCTCTGAATTCCTGACACCAAGCAGTGTCCCCCAGAACAATACCTGGAGTTTATTTTTAATTTTATTTTGAACCAAATTCCATCTGGTGTGTGCCACTGAGTAATTTTTCCCTCTTCCCTCTCATTTCACACGTATTCCCAGTTTTCTGCTGCACTTTGCCTTTCCCTGCAATGAAGGAGGAGTTCTCCAGCAGCAGAGGACATTTTCCCAGTGGGAAGCAATCTCAGGGATCTGGAGGATCTCCCCAGACTTTTATTCCATTATTCCCTTTCTTACCACAGTGCATATTTCACTTTTGGATTCCCTTCCCACCCCGATATCCTGCCTCCCTTCCTGCTGATCCCATCCCAGCCGTTTCCCCTGAGGTTCCTGGTGCATTGATCCATTTTTGCTTTCTCATAGCTTATCCCAAGTTTAAATTTCATTTCTGTGCTTCAGTAGTCTGCTAGTTCTGTGCCAGCACATCTTCCTGGGAAATCACATGCTGGAGAAAGAGAAGGAATCTTGGGATTCCTTAAGCAAAGTTTGTTTGGCAAAAATATCCCAGGTGTGTGAGTATCTCTTTGGAATTCAGGCTCTAAATCTGGGCCAGGTTTGTAATGCCCATGGTTGTGTTATCCAAGGAACCCTGGGATTTGGGACAGCCTCCCTTTCCACGGGCAGTCCCAGGCCAGGGATGTTCTGAAGGTTTCCAGGTGTTTTTTCCCTGGATTCACATTCCCTGGATTTCCCTGGATGCCCAGTTCCCAGGGCAGTGTTTTTGGGAAGCGCTGCTCCTGTGAGGGCTCGCTCAGCCCTCGGGACATCCCTGGGTGCCAGAGCTCAGGAAGGACAGCTTTAATTAAACAATTCTGGGTTAATGACTCCTTGCACACAGCTCCCCTGCTGAAGCCCATCCCATCCCTGCTGGGATGCAGGCTGAGGGATGCCTTTTCCCAGTGGGATGTTGTGGAAGGAGGCACAGAGAGGTGGGAGATGCACAATTCCTGCTCCCAGCACGAGGGGCACTGGGAAATCCAAAATCTTGGGCTTGTGGCCGATGCCTCATGGCCCATCATCACCCTGGTGGTGTTCCCAGTGGATGTGGCATCCTTGGGAAGCAGGAAAATCCCAGAATTGGGGTGCAGTGCCTTGCAGTGAGATGTAAATGTTGCTTTTGTGTGTTCCAGAAGCGAGTGTGCAGACTGCTGGACACCATCCCACGGGAGGCTGCTGCCCAGCTCAGGGACTGTGCCATGGACCTGGATTCCAGGCAGAAATTCCTCCCTGGCTCTGCTCCCTGGGCTGCAAAGACAAAGCAGAATTCCACAGTGAGTTCCCACTGTCACTTCAATCACTTCACAAATGCATTTTATAATAATATATTAAATATTGTATATATTATACTATGTTATGTTATTGTATTATATTACACTATGTTATATTATAATATATAATAACATATTAAATATTATATATATTATACTATGTTATGTTATGTTGTTATATTATATTATATTATATTATATTATATTATATTATATTATATTATATTATATTATATTATATTGCATTACATTATTTTACATTATATTACATTATATTACATTATATTATATTGCATTATATTGTATTATATTATATTATATTATATAATTATATATTATATATATATTATATTATATTGCATTATATTGCATTATATTGCATTATATTGCATTATATTATATTATATTATATTATATTATATTATATTATATTATATTGCATTATATTGCATTATATTGCATTATATTACATTATATTATATTGCATTATATTATATTATATTATATCATTATATATTATATTACATTATATTATATTATATTATATTATATTATATTATATTGCATTATATTGTGTTACATTATTTTACATAATATTATATATAAAAATATATGTAATAATATATATTATATAAAATACATTTTATAATAATTGTAAATAATTGCCTTTTTTTTCTTCTCCTTCTTTTTTGTTTTAATTTTTTGATGGATTTGTGTCTGGTTTTGTTCCTCAGGTTTTGGAAAATCATGGGAACAGAGGCATTTCCCAGCCCTGCCCGAGATGTGTTGCTGGAGAATCTGTGAGTGTGGGAATCTGCTTTTTGGGGCTAAAAAAAGGCTGGGACTTATTCCCCAGAATTAAAACCATAAAACATGAAGTTAGCAACCTCCACAAGGGCACTGCTCAGGAATAAAGGCTGGGAATTAAAAGTAAAGGAGATGGATTTAGCATTTCAGCAGAGCACAAATTAATATTTCCAGCAGCAGCTGGAGAATCTGGAGATGCTCAACACATTTTTCAAATTCTCTCTTAAAAAGCAGAATTTGGGAAGTAAATAAACAAGAAAATAGACAAGAAAATAGACAAGAAAATAAACAAGAAAATAAGAAAATAAACAAGAAAATAGACAAGAAAATAAACTAGAAAATAAGAAAATAAACAAGAAAATAGACAAGAAAATAAGAAAATAAACAAGAAAATAGACAAGTAAATAAACAAGAAAATAAGAAAATAAACAAGAAAATAGACAAGAAAATAAGAAAATAAACAAGAAAATAGACAAGAAAATAAACAAGAAAATAAGAAAATAAACAAGAAAATAGACAAGAAAATAAACAAAAAAATAAGAAAATAAACAAGAAAATAGACAAGAAAATAAGAAAATAAACAAGAAAATAAACAAGTAAATAAACAAGAAAATGAAAAAATAAACAAGTAAACAAAGTAAATAAAGAAGAAGAAGAAGGAAACAATGACATAACATTTCCTCTACCCCAATTTTAGTTGTTCTTTATTTACTGGATCATAACTAAATATTCAGGAAAGTCATTCTATCTCCTTTTTTTTTTTTTTAATGTAATTGGATATTAAATATAAATATAAATATAAATATAAATATAAATATAAATAATTAAATATAAATAATAATTGATAAATAAATTAATAAATATTAAATTTATAGTAAATAAAGAATAATAATAATGATAATGATCATAATGATAATCATAAAGATAAATATAAAAATAATAATAACAATAAAGATAAAGATAAGGATTAATAATAATAATAATAATAATAATAATAATAATAACTATTATAATAAAGATAAATATAAAGATAAATATAAAGATGCTAATAATAAAGATAACAATAATAATAATGATAAAGATAAAGATAAGGATTAATAACAATAATAGTAATAATAATAGTAATAGTAATAGTAATAATAATAATAATAATAGTAATAATCATAATAAAAAGATAAAGATAATAATAATAACGATATGGTAACGATAATAATAACAATAAAGATAAGGATAAAGAATAATAATAATAATGGTAATTATAATGATAATAATAACGATTATAATAAAGATGAATATAAAGATGATAATAATAAAGATAGCAATAATGATAAAGATAAGGATTAATAACAATAATAGTAATAATAATAATAGTAATAATAGTAGTAATAATAATAATAAAAATAATAGTAATAATAATGATAATAAAAAGATAAAGATAATAATAATAATAGCGATATGATAACGATAATAACAATAAAGATAAGGATAAAGAATAATAATAATAACGATAATTATAATGATAATAATAACGATTATAATAAAGATAAAGATAAATATAAAGATAATAATAAAGATAACGATAATAATAATGATAAATATTAGGAATAATAATAATAAAGATAAATAATAATAATAAAGATTAATAATAATAATAATAATAATAATAATAATAATAATAATAGTAATGGATTCAAGTAACACCATTTCTAGTGCAAGGCACATCAGCCTGACTAAAATCAGGTTTTTAACTCTGGCCTGTTGAGGAACTTGGATAAAAACTGGAGGAGGTAACACTGACCTCTTCCAGAACATTGATCTGTGGAGTTTGGGGCTGTCTGGACCTGTTTTATTCACTTTGAAATGTTTTCCTGTGGCAGCTGTGAGAAACAAGGAAAACAAGTGGAACATCAAAATTAAAGATTTGCACTTTGAGTGCTCAGTGCTTTCAATTTCAAAACTCAGGGTAGGACCACAAAAATCCAGAGCCCTTGCAGAGCTTCTCCCTTAAATTTTTCCTTAATTAATTTCATATTATGGAGTTGAAATTTTAAAATAAAATTAATATTTGCAAAAATAAATAAATAAAAAAATTTCAACATTTTTTAAAATAAATAAAATTAAAATTTGGAAAGGGAAGACT